CATTTGTTTCTTTGTCCATTAAATAGTTTTTGAGCACTGCCTTCAGGCCAGGTATTGTTCTAGACACAAGCAATATAACAATATTTACAATAAGATCCATGTCACTTTGGGACTTACAGCTGGTTGTTTTTATAGACAGGCTACTAAAGGGTTGCTAAGTCGGACTTGCGGTAATTAAAATAGACGTTTCTTGTGTGGGGGTTGGGAGTAAGAAAAAGAGAGACTGGAATCTTTTAGATGATTGCATCTAAACATTTTTAGCCTTTTTAAAAAAATTACAGAGCTTAACGCAGTTCACAGTTCACCCACACTACAGCAATATTTGGCCTACCTTTTGCAAGCCCAATTCCCTAACTATGAGTTTCTCTGTTCTACATAAAAATCTCACTTGGAGCACAATTATTTGACAATTTGAGTTGAAACTGGAGGATCTGATTTATGGAGAACAAACTTACCTCTGAAATCATGTCTCTTTATGAATATCTACATGAAGTCTTATGAAGAATCAGCCTGCTGTGGTTTCCCATTTTAACTTCTGTTTTTGAAAAACATTTCACATTCAACTAAGCACTTATTAAATGCTTTATGAAACCAAAAATGGCTTGATGGTCTGTGTCTTCCAGAATAGCTTAAGTTTCAGTGCTACCAAGAGAAAAATTTAATCTGGGCACATGTCACTGTTAAAATATGGTCAGATCGAGAATTGTATTCCTCTCTTTGTAATTCTTTCCCACTTGTGAAACTTTATCCAGTGGATTTTTTAAATTACAAAGACTTATTCCACAGATAAGTTTGTACTTCTGATTACATCCATGTTCATGTGATCAAAAGGCAGCAAAGAGTAAGACATTGTCATATGGTAACTCCATAGAAATAAGGATGCTCGGGGAGGACAGATTCAGTCTTGAGTACCTGTGACTTGGTATTCTCGAAATTATAGCCCCTTTGGAATGGCTTAAGAACTACCAGTTAAAGTAACCAGACACACAAGGCCATGTAATATACGATTCCACTTCATGAAATGTCCAGAACAAGCAAATCCATAAAGACAGAAAGATTAGTGGTTTCCAGGGGCTGGTGAGAGGGGGAAATCGAGTATGACAATATATACAGGCAATGGGGTTTTGGGGTGATGACAATGTTCTGCAGTTAGGTGGTGGTAATGGTTGCAAAACATTGTAAATATAGTAAAAACCAATGAATGGTACACTTAAAGCCACACACACACAGCTAGAAAAGCTACAGCTAGTTTGAGGAAGTCAGTTCCAACACCTGGCTATTCAGAGAATGCCCTCCTGCCCTCCTTTCTTTGGCATCAACTCTGAAGCATAGTTATTTTATAGTTGGAAAATCTTTTCTAAGCAGAGATTAAGCTCTTGGGGACAAAGTAAACTTGTGTCTTACAGGTATCACCAAAGTTCCAGCTTAACAAAGAGAACCTCCTCGGGATCCTACTTTTCCCAGTGTTGGGTAGTGCTTGGAAAGATAAAGATCAAAGTGCTATGTTTCCATGGTGACCATATTCAGCTTAGTATTTATTGTATCTTGCTCTGAAGTTTAATTTCTTACTTTGGGACTCATTGTAATAATGGGAGCACCCGCACTGTGGGAGGCCAAGGCAGGCAGATCACCTGAGATCAGGAGTTCAAAACCAGCCTGGCCAACATGGCAAAATCCCGTCTCTACTAAGAAAAATAACAGAAAATAGCCGGGCAGGCACCTGTGGTGGCAGACACCTGTGGTCCCAGCTACTTGGGAGGCTGAGGCAGGAGAATCACTTGAACCCAGGAGGTGGAGGTTGCAGTGAGCCAAAATCTCATTATTGCACTCCAGGCTGAGTGACAGAGCAAGTCTCCGTCTCAAAAAAAAAAAAACAGTAATAAAAAGTAGTGGGAGCACCAGGCCTTTGTTTTAGTTCAGTATTTCTTTGGTGAACGCTTTTCTAACATCTCTCTTACCTTACCTATGTTAGCTGTGTCTTAGAAGCAGGCTCATTTGTACAGTTAGCTAAAGTATTCATTCGTGAAACCATTCATAGCAGTTGTCTTTTCATCAAACATAATACCTTTAAAATAGCAGAAAATTAATGCTACTCATGATTTTGTTATTTTGCTAAGTAGTCAGAGGCTATATTATCTCCATTAATCCCAACATATACATTAGAAATGTCTTTATTCTAGATAATCTGTACTTATTTGAATGCAAAAGTTTTGTCAATATGAGTGAACGTATACATCTTTTTATTAACTGATGGAGATATCACTTGAAACTTTTCTCCTGGAAAAGGCAAAGATGAAATGTATTGAAAAAAATTAAGTAGATTTTTATTTATTTAAGATGGGGTTTCACCATGATGGCCAGGTTAGTCTTGAACTCCTGACTTCAGGTGGTCCACCCACCTCGGCCTCCCAAAGTGGTAGGATTACAGGCATGAGCCACCGTGCCCGGCCTAATTAGATTTTTAAAACTTCAAAATACTTTTATGGCAAATGTAAATAAAATTGTTTCTATCTGCAGATTGTTTTGCATAAAATCTCTATGTGAATAATATACATTGCAGTACAGTAAAATCAGTCCTTTTTATACGTTTTGAATGTTATGCATTTTGAAGGTAATTTTTTAAAGTAACTAGGTATTGGCATTTTTTTCATAATATATTTCTAGTAGAGCACACCTGAAATGTGTAAACTTGTGTAAGTATTTTGCATCACTAGTCTAGTTGTACATATTTTTAGAAATAAGAATGGGTTTGGAAAATAATCTATTTGTAGTAAGTATAGTTTTTACTGAGTCTGATATATCTTTCAGATACTTGAGTAAAATCTGTTAAACTATTCCAGATTTTTAAATTTCAGTATCCTTGCTGTGGAGTCTAGCGTTGGCTTTCTGATGTCAGAATAATCAAGTGCTGCTCATACAGACATCCAGAAAACTTTTTCTAGTGATGATACATTTAGCAAAAAACTCAAGTCTTTAAAAATTCTAATTAGTGTTTAAATGGACTTGAGACAAATGTACATTATGAAATCTAAAATGATAAAAATTTGTGACTATATATAATATATAATCTTCATTATGTAGGCTATTTCTAAAAAATTAGTTTCTGTGCTGATTTCATGTTAAGCTTTTCAAATATTTGCAGATTATAATGGCTCCAATAAGTTGTTCTAAATCTGGTAGCCACTTATTAAATGGTTACTGAGTAAACATTAATCATTTAATAATTATTTAGGAATTATGATGTCAAATCTTTATACTTCAGGCTCCTTGCACTATAATTACTTAAAATTAGGTTGCATCAGTAGTCTATATTAACAGATATCTTGGTTTGGAGGAAAAAAGTTCTATTTTGTAGGTACTTGAATAGTTTTGTCTTGTGAAATTACATAGGTGTGTGTTTATGTGCGTGTATAGACACGTGTATTGGGGGCTTACAACACCAAATTAATAAGACCCCACGCTCCTTAAATCGACTATCTGCCCTGCCAGTAATCCCCCGCCTGTACTGGTATATACAGAGTTCTCTCTGGTATAAATGATTGATCAAGCAAAAGGGTGTAAGATATTTGTGTTAGTTTCTTTTTAAAAGAATAACAGGTTACACATAAACTGGTAACACTGCGTTGATTTCCTAAAGACCTAATACAGCTGTAAGAGGGAATAACATTCCAGAGCTCCAGGATTATTTTAATACAGCTTTCAAGATGGTGGTGATTTTGATTGAATATAGAAACTTCAGAGTGTATTAAGTGTATTTTAAGTATGTAACACATCCATTGGTGATTTGTTTTGTTTGTGGTTTTGTGGGGTTTTTTGGTTGTTTTTGTTTTGTTTTGTTTTGTTTTGAGACGGAGTTTCGCGCTTGTTACCCAGGCTGGAGTGCAATGGTGCCATCTCAGCTCACCGCAACCTCCGCCTCCTGGGTTCAGGCAATTCTCCTGCCTCAGCCTCCTGAGTAGCTGGGATTACAGGCACGTGCCACCATGCCCAGCTAATTTTTTTTTGTATTTTTAGTAGAGACGGGATTTCACCATGTTGACCAGGATGGTCTCGATGTCTTGACCTTGTGATCCACCTGCCTCGGCCTCCCAAAGTGCTGGGATTACAGGCGTGAGCCACCGCACCCGGCCCTTCTTGTTGTTTTTAAGTAAGGATCCATCTTGTGTATTTGGTTGACTTTTATGTAGACATCATAAATGTGATGCTTACTTTTCTATTAGCCACTTCATTTTAGATTTAGTTTGATTAATCTACTCTTTGAAATTTTAGTTTGATTATTCTTTCTGCTATGTTTTGGCTTTTGTTTTTTGAGTGATAACCTAAGAAGTTTCTATAGTGGAAAATACCATGATGACATCTTCATCCCTTATAAAATTGTCTCATTTAGAGGAATTTTTCAAAGCCTATGTTGAAAGATGGGCAAATGAAGTAAAGCATCATAATGAATTCTTTTTTTTTTTCATAGTGAACTCATTTTCCATAAAGAACGGCAAACACATTCTCCTCATTTTGCTAACTTCCAGGGCTTTTTTTTTTCATTGTGACTGCTTTGCACACTTCATAACGTTTCTCCCAGCGAAGGCTAACTGCAATGTAGTTGGTTTAAAGACAAATATTTTTAATATGGATAAAAGTTGTAAGTATGCCTTTCATGTGGCAAACTCTAAACTGGGGGTTAGTACTCCACTGCAGCATTAGACACCAGCTATTCCCGATAGGATGCACATATCAGATGCTGTTTTTCCCTTAAACTTTGCACTTTTCATTGACAGTGTTTTCAAATCAGATCTTGTTTTATTGGGTTTCACGTGATTGGACTAATGCTTACATATTTGCTTCTTTTGAAGGTATTTAGACATTAAAAATTAATTATTTCCTTATGAGTCATTGCTTTGAAAAACCATTTTAGGCCGGGCACGGTGGCTCACGCCTGCAGTCCCAGCACTTTGGGAGGCCAAGGTGGGTGGATCACGAGGACAAGAGATCGAGACCATCCTGGTCAACATGGTGAAACCCTGTCTCTACTAAAAATACAAAAAATTAGCTGGGCACGGTGGCGCGTGCCTGTAATCCCAGCTACTCGGGAGGCTGAGGCAGGAGAATTGCCTGAACCCAGGAGGTGGAGGTTGCGGTGAGCCGAGATCGCGCCATTGCACTCCAGCCTGGGTAACGAGCAAAAACTCCGTCTCAAAAAAAGAAAAGAAAAACCATTTTAGAAGAAATTTCCATTTTTTAAAAAAAGAAGTGATTTCTTAAAAGGTACTGATAATTTATCTTTGCTGTAGATGAATGCCATGTTTCTATATTCTAGGACTCTTACTGAATAATACTGTTTATTTCTTTAGATCAACCAATATATTCTTTATTTTGTGTTCAAACGAACACTGTGAGATGATTGGGAAGGCTGTGTGTTGAAGTTAGATGCAAAGTTGGACCTTGTACAGTGAGCCTCTTGTGAGAACTGAATTCTGGGAAAACTGTGTAAACCATGAAAGATAAAGCCTGTCATTCATGTCTGCCTTGGCCTGTGCCCAGCTTTGTTTCTCACCATTCAGTTTTTACTAACTAGACCTACTAGCATTTAAAGAGAAGTACATTCATCCTCTCAAAGAAAACGAGGTTACTGAAAGAACTCACTTAATTCCTTTTTCCCTGAACCCGTGGTTTTAAATGGAGAGGAAAATGTATTAGATACGACACTTTACATGAGTATTACTGAAGATTTTGTGAAAAAGAGGTGGGAAGGCAGTTTGGTACTTTATTTCCAGCTTGGCTACAGACTTGGTGACCCTGAGCAAATCACTCAGCCTCCGCTTGCCTCCATTTCTTCATCTGTAAAATGGGCATAACCAGCATACTGAGGAATCGATTAAAGAGGTTAAAAGAATCCATAGGCGCATTGACCCCAAAGATGGCTAGAATATAGATGTAATTGATATTTATGAAGACTTTCTATTATATAGCAATCTAATTTTAAAAATATCTTTACCCACTTCTCTGTAGCAGGTAAAGATTTTGACTAGCATTTTGAAGTAGGAACTAACAATAAAGTATAAAATTAAGTAGATTTTCTTTTCTTTTTTTTTTTTTTTGAGATGCAATCTCACTCTGTCGCCCAGGCTAGAGTGCAGCGGCGCAATCTTGGCTCACTACAACACCAGCTCCCAAGTTCAAGCAGTTTTCTGCCTCAGCCTCCTGAGTAGCTGGGATTACAAGTGCCAGCCACCATGCCCGGCTAATTTTTGTATTTTTAGTAGAGATGGGGTTTCACCATGTTGGCCAGGCTGGTCTTGAACTCCTGACCTAGTGATCCACCCACCTTAGCCTTTCGAAGTGCGGACATTACAGGCGTGAGCCACCAAGCCCAGCCAATTTTTAATATATATGGTTATGAAATAGTTCTAGTAAAAATTTATGATGTACACTGTTGGTCTGAGTGTGGGTTAAAATACATCATTGCGCTTGGCTAATTTGTGGAATGTCTTGAGTTGGCTTCATTTATTTCAGAGAGATGCATAGATGATCAGATCACACTGTCATAGTAGTGTTTTTAGCACATACGAGAATCTTAGCATTTTGGAGCCTTAGAGCTCAGCCAGTGTAATTTCCTACCGGAAGCAGATTTCTTCCTGGTGACCTCACCAGCAGCTGTTTGTGCAGCCTTTTCCTGAAAGCTTTTTGGGAAAGGTGGGGCTGATACCTCACTACTTTGATGTGCACCTTTTGTTCAAGAACTTTCTAAAACTTGGAGCTAATCATGTTTTTTTTCAGAAGATGTAAGCATTTTAAATTTTTTATTGAATTCCATCCTTATTTAAAAGTCCTGGTTGGTAATATTTTCTCAGTTTTTTTTATTTTTTATTTTTGCATGCTGTCCCACATTGATTAGGTTGTTTTCTTCATTTTATTAATAGTCTAAAGATACTTTCATCTCTATTTATGTCTTCTTCCATTTAGTATTTATGGGAGAGAGCAAGAAGGGAAGATATATCTATTTTTAAAACTGACTGCAATCATAACTGTTCTTGTCTTTCTGTAGCAACTGGATTTATTACTATTTCTTATTTAAAGGTCCTTCAGAACTCGTTGAAGCAGTTCATTTCAGGTCAATGCCTGCTAAGCAATGTCAGGACCTCTGGGGAAGGGGAAGCCGACAGGATCCCAGAGGAAAGAATTCAGGTTGTTTGCTCTCTTGTAGAAAGCCCACGGATCCCTTCCCAGAGTAGAAAAAAGTGCCAGAGTGTCCTGAAACTGTTTCCTTCCAAGGCACATACTTCAAAGAGATTGGGGATTCTTTTTTTTAAATATAGGTGGGGCCTCACTGTGTTGCCCAGGCTTGTCTTGAACTCCTGGGCTCAAGCGATCCTCCCGCCTCAGCCTCCCAAAGTGTTGGCATTACAGGCATGAGTCACATGCATGGCCATGGAGATTCTAATGTGGTGCCAGCTGCCAGGTAAGAAAGCTGTGAGACAATGTGTTGATATTCCTCTAATACGTCAGGTTTGGGGACATCATCTAGCATCTATGTGTGACATCACCCTTTGTTCCATCTTTGGGAAATGATAGTAGTAGCTTGTTATTGTTAGCTGACCCCTAAATTGGCATCAACAAAAGTAAATCCCTTTAGTTTTAACTTTCCTTTTGGCCTTTTATTACCTTTCTCTCTCTCTCCTCCTTCCTCCCCACCAGCCCTCCCCCACTCTCTCCATGTGCACACATCCACACACATTTCCCTGGTACTCCTTCCACCCATCTAAAGGAAGCTGTGCTCAGTCTTGCTGCATGCCAGATTACCGTACTGAGGTCAGTCAGCCGTAGACTAAACTCTCAAGCAGCCATTAGCTGTACGTAGCCACCAGATTCACTCGTTCAGACAGGTTTACACAGCTATTTGCTGACCAAACACATCAGCTGTGCAGGAGCCCAAGGCAGCCTGTCGGGCAGAAGAATTACCAACCAAAGTGGATCTCTTCATAAAATCAAAGATCTGGAGTCCGTGTCCTTTTAAAAAAACTTTTGTCTTCAGACATATGGGTGCGTGTTCATCTCTGGCCAAAACTTCGTTTCCAGTTTCAAAGGGCTGGTTCCAAAGGTGGCTTTGTAACCTTTCTGTTGCTGGCTCCGTTAGTTGCCTGATAAGCAGTAGCTAAGTGATCATCCTCAGAATTTGAGAGGGGCATCTTTTAGATTCAGACCACCAGGGTGCCTGTGTGGGCTCTCCTGAGCCCTCTTTTCTCATCTGTGGGGTGAACGCTTCTCTTTGCAGAAATTTGCTTGCATCTTTTCCTTTTATTTATTATTACTTTTAGAGACGGTGCCTTGCTCTGCTGCCCGGGCTGGAGTGCAGTGGACTCTTGTCTTCTGTTGATCTTTGCCACCCTCTGCCTGGCTTAATGAGGTTCTTTTCCTCATTATTATCTCCCACACGCTGACCTTCCCCCTGCATTTTTAAGAAAGAAGCAGAGAATGTCACCAAGTGTAAGCAATTCTATGAAGTCCATAGGGTTAGCTTTGGGAATAGATGCTTTCTTCTTCTTTTGGTGTAAACATCAATTTGGAATGTAATTAGAATGTCTTTAGCCTCTTTAAAAAGCCCTTCTGAGGCAAACCTTTGCAAGTCACTCGACTGGCATGTCCTTAGAATTCTATTTGCATGGCTTTTTTTTTCTAAGTCGCTCTAGAAGAACCTAAGAACATTCTGAAAATGCAAGGATTACAGTTATTCTCACATCAAGGATCAACTTTATTTTGTATCTTCACTTTATGTCATTTTCGATTATTTGGTTAGTATCAATCTAGCATTAATTTCACCCGGAGGGAATGACTATGTTTGCTTGCCACCACCTGTGTTTAGTAAGGGATGGCTTTTCTTTATCTGCCTTTCTGAATTTCATATTTGTATGCTTTGTTGTAATTTTAAAAAATCGATTCTAGCTGGGCTAGAATCTTCAAGTATTAATTTATAATGAACTTTCCCTCTTCTGGAATTGTTTAGGAGGGCTCAGTGTTCTACGTTCTTTTCGTCGCTGTAGATACGCATTGTCATTTCCGTGCTCTTTGAGTGCTTTATGATACTGGGAACCGGTCTGCCTTTGATTCAAGGTGAACGATATGGAGGTAAGAGTTTTTATACTATTAACTATTAATTGAGAATTTTCAGATTTTATAGCTACTTGTCTTTAACAGTTATAAGAGGCATGCATTTTTTCCCTTCATGGTCTTGAAGTTAGTTTGTGCGGGTAGATCGGGATGAGTCGTTGAGTTCTGTTGAGTTGAAAACACATGAATCAAAAAAGCGGATGTATTGTAGAAACGTGATGTTTTCATGATTTGGGAATTTGGCTGGAAAGCTTACAGAGCAGTAAGGGCTTACCTTTTACCAACTTCAGTGTGTGTACAGATGTATTTGTTCAAGCTTTAAGAATGAACCTGTCAATGTACAGATGCCTGATATCTGACTTGGACTTGTGGTGTGTGTGTTTCCTTTTTGGGGCTGCTTCTTGGAGTTAAGTAAGAGTGTTAAAGAAGCACAACAGTCTATATCAGTGAATTTACATCTTAGAAGACTCACCTTCACTTATGCTTGAAAGAAAACTGTGTAGACAATTGAATGCAGCATTTTCTGAATTGCCCTGAAGGATGCCTTGAAAGGAGAAGGAACCACTCACCCGTTTAGTGTCCACCAACCCGTTCATGCCTCCCTTCATCAAGCCGCCATCATTGGAGGGCTCCAAAACATTAGCCCCGGACCAGGTCTCCGGCAGATGCCCACTCAGAGGTCACTCCCAGCCCTGAGCACGTGCCCTTGTCTGCTAAGAGCTATGAGTGCATCTTAGACGTCAGTCCAGGACCTCAGGCCAGTGGCTGGCACACAGGTGTTCAGTAAGGGTCCAATGAGTAAATGAATCTAAGTATCTGGCACACAGTAGGCGTTCATAAATAGGAGTTGTTGTTATCCAGACTCGGGGAGACCCAAAGCACCCACTGCTGGAGTCCATCTTCATCTGGGGAGTCTCTGCTGACAGCCTGGGTGAAGATGGACTCCAGCAGGGTGGTGAGGGGGTGTGGGGAGAGGCTGCCCCCAGGACAGGGAACACCCTGTGCTGCTCCTGGCCAGGTCCACAGATGAGCCAAGATGGGAATTAGTGCAGACATGCCCACCTCTCAGCGGGAGACCACCCCTTTGTCTCCTACTTCCCACCCTGTAGTAGACAGAATAACAGCCCCCCTCAAAGACAGCCACATCCTAATCCCCAGAACCTGTGGCTGTGTTAGCTAAAGTGGTGAAAGGAGCCTTGCAGATGGGAATAGGTAAGGATCTGGAGATGGGGAGATGGCCCTGGGTAATCTGGGTGGGCCCAGTGTCATCACAACGGACTTTCTAAGAGGGAAGCAGGAGCTCAGAGAGGAAAGGAGATGCCACACTGCTGGCTATGAGGGTGCAGGAAGGGTTTCTGAGCCTAAGGACATAGCTGGTCTCTGGAAGTTGGAAAGGACAAGGAAATGGATTCTCCCCAAGCCCTTCCAAGAGAAGCCAGCCCTGCTAACACCTTGACTTTGACCAGTGAGACTAATTTTTCAACTTCTGACCTCCAGTGCAGCAAGACAGAAACTCCACTCAAGAACGGTGCAGCCAAGAGCATAGGGCTCTGTCTTCCCCAGCACCCAGTGGGAGGGCCATCCTCCCAAGAGAGGCAACATGGCAGCATTTCTCCTGCCCCCAGTTCCTGTTGCTGAGGCTAAGTTCCGGGTAAGGACAGGTGGGATTTGGGGGCTCCCTTCCTTCTCCTGCCCCCTCGTGGGATGGAGGCTCTACCCTGGCCCCATCCTGGGATGTGAATACTGACACCCTGATCACCTGTCCCGGCTCCTGAGGCAGAGTTTCCATGCTGGGAGAGGCAAGCCAGGGAGACCAGAGGCTATCATGCAACCTTGCCACCAAGCACTCAGTCCTAAAGCTGGGATGTCACTCAGGGAAACATGCTGTTGTCCTTAGGCCAAGACAGAAACCAGATTCATGGTTGTCTAGGACTGGGAGTTTGGGAGAAGATGGGAGGATAGCTAAAGGACACAGGGTTTCTTCTAGAAGCAATGAAAATACTGCTGACCCTCAGATCCACAGGGACTGCCTCCAGCACACTGAGATCTGAGGACACCAAAATCCAAGGATGCTCAAGTCCCTGACATAAAATGACATAGTAGGCTGGGCACGGTGGCTCACGCCTGTAATCCCAGCACTTTGGGAGGCTGAAGTGGGTGGATCACCTGAGCTCAGGAGTTTGAAACCAGGCTGGCCAACATGGTGAAACCCAGTCTCTACTAAAAATACAAAAATTAGCCAGGCATGGTGGCACACACCTATAATTCCAGCTACTTGGGAAGCTGAGACAGGAGAATCACTTGAACCCAGCAGCAGAGGTTGCCGTGAGCCAAGATCACGCCACTGCGCTCCAGTCTAGGCTGGAGAGTGAGACTCTGTCTCAAATAATTAAATAAAATGACATAGTATTTTCCTTTAACCTACACACATCCTCCTGTATACTTTAAGTCATCTCCAGATGACTTATAATACCTAATACTATGTAAATGGTTGTTGTACTGTGTTTTGTTTTTGAGATGGAGTCTCACTTTGTCACCCAGGCTGGAGTGCAGTGGCACAATCTTGGCTCACTGCAACCTCCACCTCCCTGGTTCAAGGGATTCTCCTGCCTCAGCCTCCCAAACAGCTGAGACTACAAGCACGTGCCACCATGCCCAGCTAATTTTTTTTGTATTTTTAGCAGAGATGGGGTTTCACCATATTGACCAGGCTGGTCTCGAACTCCTGACATCATGATCCATCCACCTCGGCCTCCCAAAATGCTGGGATTACAGGCATGAGCCACCGTGCCCAGACTGTATTTTTTGTTTTGTTTTTAAATTTTATTTATTTTTGAAGAGACGGGGTCTCGCTATGTTGCCCAGGCTGGAGTGCAGTGGCTGTTCACAGGCACGATCCCACTACTGATCAGCATGGGAGTTTTGACCTGCTCCGTTTCTGACCTGGGCCGGTTCATCCCTCCTTAGGCAACCTGGTGGTCCCCCGCTCCTGGGAGGTCACCATATTGATGACAAACTTGGTGCTGACACCTGATCAGCATAGCACACTACAGCCCAGAGCTCCTGGGCTCAAGCGATCCTCCCACCTCCCGAGTAGCTGGGACTATAGGCATGCGCCACTATGCCTGGCCCAGCCTGTAATTTTTATTTGTATATTTTGTCTCTTTTAGCCCACAACTAACATCATATGTATCTTGTTTTTATTTTTTATTGTTTTTTTTTTTTTTTTTCAATTTTTTTTGTTTGTTTTTTGAAGACAGGTCTCATTCTGTCACCCACGCTGGAGTACAGTGGCATTTGTAACTCACTGCAACCTTGAACTCCTGGGCTCAGGCCATCTCTTGCCTTAGCTTCCTGAGTAGCTGGGACCATAAGTCTATGCCACCACACCTGGCTAATTTTTTTGTTTAGACAAGGTCTCACCATGTTTCCCACACTGATCTTGAACTACTGGGCTCAAGTGATCCTTCTGGCTCAGCCTCCGAAGTGCTGGGATTACAGGGGTGAGCCACTTCGCCTGGCCCATTTTGTTTCTTTATCTTTGGTCAGCCATGTTTGTGTCAGCTTAAACTTCAGTGGGTGTAATGCTGACATCACAGAGTCAGCCCCACGGATTACCAGTTAACCAGGGCAAATGTTTGGCTATTTATAAGACAGAGAAGAAGTAATCCCCAGGGTAAAACCAGAGGATATGAAAGGCAGTGGACTATGCCGCCTTGCAGAAGTGTGGGGGAAGGGGCTAGCCTTGTACCACCGATCACCACAGGGGTAGCTCTGGCTTGCTGTGGCCCCATCTGCGTGTTGACTTTCTTTGCAGGATGGGGCAAAGGATGGTGAGCCACATACTCAGATCGAGTCAAGGATACACCTACGGTCCCAGCTACTCAGGAAGCTAAGGCAAGAGATCGCTTGAGCCCAGGAGTTCGAGGTTGCAGTGAGTTATGATCATGCCACTGTACTCCAGCTCGGGTGACCGAATGAGACCCTGTCTTTAATGGATGCTTTACATACATTGTCTTATTTTGTAAGACAATGTATGTAAAGCAGCCCTGGATGTTTTAGTAAATATCAGTGTTAATTCTATCAGACTTGCATCATTGTCTCAGGTGGTCCACCTGAGCCAAACCACTAGTCAGTTCTTCGCAGTTTGTGTCCTTGTGGTTGTTTGAGGCTGCCACCACTGCTGTTGTGGGCATCAAGAACTCACAAGAGGTTGGGTGTGGTGGCACTCACCTGTAATCGTAGCTGCTTGGGAGGATGGGTGTGGAGGATTGCTTGAGTCCAGGAGGTTGAGACTGCGTGAGCTATGATCATACCAATGCACTTCAGCCCAGGTGACAGAGAGAGACCCCATCTCTTAAAAAATTAAAAATTAGACCAGATGCAGTGGCTCCCACCTGTAATCCTAGTACTTTGGGAGGCCAAGGTGGGCAGATCACTTGAGGTCAGGAGTTCGAGACCAGCCTGACCAACATGGTGAAACGCTGTCTCTACTAAAAATACAAAAATTAGCCAGGTGTCATGGCGGGCACCTGTAATCCCAGCTACTTTGGAAGGCTGAGGCATGAGAATCACTTGAACATGGGAGGCAGAGGTTGCAGTGGTAAGCCGAGATCACATGACTGCATTTCAGCCTGGGTGACAGAGACCCTGTCTCAAAAAAAAATTAAAATTAAAAAACACACAGGAAACACAGATTAAGGTCACCCTGGATCCCTCCATTAAACAACACAGCTCAACCACAAGTGGCTAAAAAACAAAATAGTAGATGGACCAGCCCGGCCAGAAGCCAGAGGCAGCCTGTGGGGGAAGAGAGACCCAGGGCAGCCTCTGCCTCAAAGTCCCACCTGCCCAGCAGGTCCGCTGCCACCTCTCAGTGCCGCCTGAGGGCTGATCACTGGAGCATCCAACCTCTCTGGGCCTCAGTGTCCTATCTGTAAAACGGGTAATATTATCCTTCAGTCCCTTTTTGTCTGTAACAGTCCCCACGGCTGCAGAAGACTGCAACATTCTCTGGGGGTAATTCTTTATACTGTAGAGTCTATAGAAAGCGCCTATACAGTTGGAATGCTCCAAAATCATAGTAGTTATTAATAGGCTGCCAAGACTGAGGGTGGGTGTAAAGCCAGTTGTACGCAACAGATCTTTGAAGGCAGCCTGGAACGGGAAGCACCAGCATGCGCTGCAGACATGAGGCGTGGTGGCCCTGCATGAGATGTGGGCAGAGAGTAAGGCTCAGGCCTGGGCAGCGCATCACAATTTGTGCCTCAAGAGCACGCCCCACCTCTAGTATGGTTATTATCAGGATGAGAAGGAGGCACAGTAAGCCGAAAACATCCTCAGCTCAATATATAAGGCTTCCCGTGTTGCTGCAGGTGACCTGTTTTGGATGCAGAAAAGCATGATGGTAGGGATAGTAATTGCCAGCAATTTTAAGACCTAGCGACTCTCCAGTGTCTTATCTGATGAGACATGGAAGCCATGTTTAATCTTGGTCCATCTTCAATTGCTGCTGACCCTCAGCAAATGAGCAGATTTTGCAAAGCTCTGGTTTAGAGTGTGAGGCTCTTCAAACGGATTCACACAGGAGCACCACCTGCATTTCTCATGTTTGATTTCTTCGACGTGGTGGTAGCGTGAAGGTGTTCATGATAGTATCCTTATGCCCTTTTACATGTATGAAATATTTCATAATGATTTTTTTTTTGAGACAGAGTCCACTCTGTTGCCCAGTCTGGAGTGCAATGCCACGATCTCGATTCACTGCAACCTCCGCCTCCCTGGTTCAAGCAATTGTCCTTCGTCAGCCTCCTGAGTAGCCGGGATTACAGATGCCCACCACCACACCCAGCTAATTTTTGTACTTTTTAGTAGATACTGGGTTTCTCCATGTTTGCCAGGCTGGTCTCAAACTCCTGACCTCGGGTGATCTGCCCGCCTTGGCCTCCCAAAGTGCTCATTATGATTTTTTAAAAGACAACATAGCCCGGCTGCAGTCACTCACGCCTGCAATCCCAGCACTTTGGGAAGCTGAGGTGGGCGGATCACTTGAGCTCAGGCGTGATGGCGTGCACCTGTAATCCCAGCCACTCAAGAGGCTGAGGCAGAGGAATCACTTGAATCTGGGAGGCAGAGTTTGCAGTGAGCCGAGTTTGTACCACAGCACTGCAGCCTGAGTGACAGAGTGAGACCCTGTCTCAAAAAAAAGGGACAACCTACAGCTAGTCCCACCAACAAATAGCAGCCGGTCCTTGGTCGCATAACCTGGAGGAGAGAGGCTGGGTGTGCTCAAGCCTGTACTCCCAGCACTTTGGGAGGCTGAGACGGGCGGATCACAAGGTCAAGAGATGAAGACCACCCTGGCCAACATAGTAAAACCTCGCCTCTACCAAACATACAAAAATTAGCCAGGTGTGGTGGTGGGTGCCTGTAATCCCAGCTACTTGGGAGGCTGAGGCAGGAGAATTGCTTGAACCCAGGAGGCAGAGGCTGCAGGGAGCCGAGATCACGCCACTGCCTTCCAGCCAGGGAGACAGAGGGAGACTGTCTCAAAAACAACAACAACAACAAACAAAGCTGGAGGAGAAGAGCAGCACTACAGTCAGAGAGAAGCGCAAGCCACAGACCCGCATGCCTGTGACTCCACTCAGGTGGGAAACGTTCCCTCAACAACTCCTAAGGCAGACAGTGCACTTTAAGCTAAATGGTGAGAGGAGGTGGCCCAAGAATTAAAACTTTAACCCCGATGATCCACAGGGTGAGAGGGCAGGTTGTGCAAAGTTCAGTTTGAGGGGCTGTGTGTGCTCACACTCCTGTTGACCATCAGACCTTTGTGGCACATGGGCCTGGCAGAATGAGTGACCTGGGAACTGAGTTTGCCCACAGGCCCACCCTGAGCAGTGAGTTATTAAACCTAAGTGAAGAGCAAGGAAGGGTATGTTAGTCCATTTTGAAGGAATACCGAAGCTGGGTAGTTTACAAAGAAAAGAGATTTGGCTCACAGTTGTGCAAGCTGTACATGAATTATGCTCAGCTTCTCATGAGGACCTCAGGAGGCTTATGATCGCAGCAGAGGCCAGGCTCACTCCTGTAATCCCAGCACTTTGGGAGGCTGAAGTGGGTGGATCACGAGGTCTGGAGTTCAAGACCAGCCTGGGCAATGTGGTGAATCCCCATCTCTACTAAAATACGAAAATTAGCTGGGCATGGTGGTGGGCACCTGTAATCCCAGCTACTTGGGAGGCTGAGGCACGAGAATCGCTTGAACCCAGGAAGTGGAGGTTGCAATGAGCCGAGATCATGCCATTGAACTCCAGCCTGGGTGACTCAAAAGAAAAAAAAAATCACAGCAGAAGATGAAGGGGGAGCAGATGTGTCACGTGGCGGGGCGGGGGGAAGAGTGGGAGAGGAGGTGCCAGGCTCTTTTAAACAACCAGCTGTCGCAGGAACTTACAGACTGAGGACTTGCTTATCATGAACCAAGCCATTCACGAGGGATCCTCCCCATGAGCTAAACATCTCCCTCTAGGCCCTCCAGTACCTCCCACACTGGGGATCACATTTCACCATGAGATTTGCACAAACATCCAAATCATATCAAGGAGATATTAAACCCCATCTCTACAAAAAACACAAAAATTAGCAAGGCGTGGTGGTACACACTTGTAGTCTCAGCTTACTTGGGAGGCTGAGGTGGGAGGATGACTTGAGCCCAGGAAGTCGAGGTCGCAGTGAGCCGAGATCACACCACTGCACTCCAGCCTGAATGACAAAGCAAGGTCCTGTTTAAAAAAAAAAAAAAGGGAAAAGGGAAGAGCAGAGCTTTCAGAACACCTTGGTGCTCTAGGGAAAAGTGGAGACTGATGTATTTCAGACTGGCTTCGTGTTTCTGACCCCTCCTTCGCCCACCCTGGGTGGTGCAGGATAAGGGAATAATGGGCCATATTCTGTTAAGGCATGGAATCCAAAAACCAGCGTTTTCTTCCCAGATAAAATTTGAAAAGGGGCACAGTAGAGGTCGGGCATTAATTTCCGTCCTTGACCCTGCATGTTGTCTCCCAATCATCAGCCCGCCTTACTTTTACTGTTTTTTTTTTGAGATGGAGTCTCACTTTGTTGCACAGGGTGGAGTCCAGGCGCGCAATCTTGGCTCACTACAACCTCCGCCTCCTGGGTTCAAGTGATTCTCCTTTCTCAACCTCGCAAGTAGCTGGGATTACAGGCGTGGACCACCACACCTGGCTAATTTTTGTATTTTCAGTAGAGGCAGGGTGTAGCCATGTTGGGCTGTTCTCAAACTCTCGACCTCACGGGATCCACCCGCCTCAGTCTCCCAAACTTCTGGGATTACCATGGGCCCGGGCACTTTACTTTCAAGCTATTATGTGCCCACGATAATTAGGGGCCATATATGTTCTCTGACAAGTCTTTCATCAGGGGCAAGCCAGTGGGCCAGCGTTGGTGGGAGCCAGCCAGTCTGCTTCTCCCACCCTCACAGCTGGGCATCCACTCACCCTCACAGCTGGACACCCCTCCACCCTCACAGCTGGACGCCCCTCCACCCTCACAGCTGGACGCCCCTCCCACCCTCACAGCTGGGCGCCCCACTGATCATGCTGTCCTTCTTTGTCAGAAGGTGGCTCTGTAGGTTTCCTGAGATTTTGGAGAGGAAGAGAGAAGGCCTTCGAGAAAACTTCCCCTTCCGGGCATGCGTTCAGAGCTCGTCAGCCCAGAAATGCCCCTGTGCTGTGTCACAGGGTCTCAGCTCAGCGAGGGCCCGAGGGCAGCCCAGGGTGCCTCTGGGAGCCAAGGAAACTTCCAGAAGCTCAGTGTCCCCTGCTCTTAAGTAAATGAAAGTAGCATGAGCTGTGGCTTCTACGTGGGGCCCCTGATCTGACCGCAGAGGTGGACAATAAGCCACCCCAAAGGCCTTCCTGGCCACAGTCCCCAGAGTGGGGGCCAGGGCTTCTGCATTAGACTCTGATTAGTGATTTTAGAGGTTGGAGTCACCTCAATGACCATCTAAAAATTTAAATCTGAAAAATGAATAAAAATTCCAATCTGATCATTCCCACTGCAGCCCCCTCTGTGGTGCCCAGTGCTGTGAGGATAAAGCCTCGGGGGCTCCCCAGTCCTCCCCATCTCCAGCTCCTGGCCCCGCTCTTGCCCCTACTCTCCTGACGCCACCTGGCAGGAGAACTTTGCTGCCGTTCCTCTGCCCGAGGCCTCCCCATGCCTGCCCTCAGCCTGGTGCCTTCAGCTTAATTGTCTCCTTTTCCAGAATGTATTTCTTTATTTTTACAAACAGCGTCTCCCTCTGTCACCGAGGCTGGAGTGCAGTGGCATGATCATAGCTCACTGCAGCCTTGAACTCCTGGGCCCAAGA